ACAGTAATACATAAGAAGGACTGAGAGGAGAGCATCTACTAGATTCTCTGAACATATCCCCGAGAAGTCTACGTTTGAAAGGTAGCTGAATATATATTCTCCAGTGCAATCGGCAGACACTGGAAATAAGTCAGGCTTTCAAAAAAATCAATACATGCAAAGAAAAGCATGGTTACTTCGGTTCGTAGAAGTCATTGTCATCAACAGATTTAAACCTAACCTATGCATACAGAAAAAGAGCTCAATTAATTAACGGGGTTTTATCAACATGGGAATCGGTTAAGAGTGGCGTTCCTCAGGGTACAATTCTAGGCCCACTTCTTTTCCTGATTTATTTTCATGAGATTCCATCGGTAGTTAGGTCATCCTGCTTACTGTTTGCTGATGACATCAAGATATGGAGGGCTTTACTCGATGACAGTGATCAACTTTCTTTGCAGGAAGATTTAAACTTGTTAAGTGATTGGTGTAAGCACTGGGCCTTGGAGATTAACTTAAGCAAGAGTGTAGTTATGCATGTATCTCATAGTCACGTGCACAATTACTGAATGAATGGCATTACTCTCCCAGTGGTCACTGAGTACAAGGACTTGGGAGTGGTTGTGCAGCATGACTTGAAAACAGCAACAAACTGTAGAGCTGCAGCCACTAAGGGTTTTCGAATATTATGGGCCATACGCAAGGCTTTTGCGAATTTTGACGCTGAAATATTTCGTATATTATATCCGACTTATATCAGACCTCATTTGGAATATGGGATCCAGGCAGCGAGCGAAATAGACTTATTAGAAAGGGTGCAAAGAGTAGGAACTAAGCTAATAAAGGGTTTCTCAACTCTCTCATATGAGGAGAGGTTAAGTCGACTGGGTTTATTTCCACTGTCATACAGACGACTTAGGGGTGACCTAATACTAGCATACCGTATCCTAAGAAATGATTTTGGAGCAAATTTATCTAATTTATTTCTTCCTTCTAGCACCAACCAATTGCGAGGACATCACCTCAAGGTTCAAAAACCACGGTCGAATCGTCTGCGTTTGGAGATCCCTTTTTCGCATCGAATTGTGAACCATTGGAACTCCCTACCGGAACACGTCGTATCAGCACCATCCGTTGATTCATTCAAGGCGAGACTGGACCTCCTGTGTGTAACAAATCGAAAGGATTAACACAGGCGTATGGCCTACTATCCTAAATAAATTGTAAACTGTAATCTCTCAATACCCTGCCAACGATAAATATTTTAATCGTGTGCCTTTTTATTTTATTCTGTTGCATAGCATTCTACTTAATCTTGATTTTGATTTTCCCTCACTTACTGACTGAGTTGAGCTCAGTAGTAAGGCTCCAAATCTACTAACTTAAATTAAATTATTTTATCTATTTGATAATTTTACTTTCCTGTTCACTACCACCCTCCTAAACTCCCCACGATAATATGTACAAATTCATTCTGTTGTTCTATCTTGTTATTTATCTCTTATCCATCCTTGTTTCCAACAGAACTTCTGAATTCCACCCCTTTGTCTAATTACTACATAAATGGTTACTCTCTTTTAACACTTAATAATTTTCTGCTTACATCATCTTTGAAATTATGTCGCCTACACTACTTTCTATCTATAAGTTGAAATCACTGTAAAAAGGGTATGTTCAGACACGATTTTGTAACATCGAATTGATTTATTTAGGGTGTAGACAGTTGAAGAGAATCAGTCGACGAAAAAAAAGGAAGCAGCACTGGGTGAAGCGGGTTCGAATCTCAGACGGAAGGGACATGAGTTGTTCCTTCAAGACTGCAGATACGCCTATCTGGTTGATGAGTGCCAACTAGCACGAAACCTAGGTCAGTTGTCTGGGCTTCCTGTGGCCGATTGCCACCAACCATCTTTTATATCATCCAAAAGAGCCCGTATTATCAAAACTGTAAATATGTGTCCGCTCTTTCTTTATTCAAACTAATAAATAATGAGAAGTATTTGGCTGTATGAAACAATTATTTCAGATGACCAACTCAGAGGTGAAAGAAAACAGTAGAGTTTTACATAAATTTGAACAGCATTGATAACACATAGAAAATCTCACGTAAAACATTATAGGTCACATCTTCATATACACTTTCTATTGAGATGTGTTTTGCTTCATGTAAGTCATACGAAAGGTTATAGGCCAGGCCTTAGTGATTGACATTTTCAAATATGTTTGATTCGTTTAACATCTATATACGTGAACTTAAAACCTTAACTGTAGCCGATATATATATATATACGTTAATAATTGATGGCTGCCAGTAAACACAATGATTTAATATTAACCATAAGTGTACCACGATGGCGAATTGTCTATCTTGTTGACTTCATTACAAAGCTTACTGGTACTAGACGATTGATGGCAACTAGCACAGTAAGGCGTATTTACAGCTTGAAAGGAAATGATGTCTACTTGGAAGTTCGAGCTTACAGCATTCAGTCAGAAAGGTTACCTACCATTGACCTACTTGGCCACATGATTGATGTCCTGTCAGTCGATAATTAAGACAAGACACACTAGTTAACACCTCCCCTCCTAGTGGTCAATCAGAATAGATCTAGGCTATCTCTTCTCGAAACTTTCAACGCAGCAAACGCATCAATAAAATTGACCCTCGAACATGGATCAAACACAAGACTACTACATCTGAAGATCAATATACCGCAAACCAAATGTGAACTGGACAGTTTATCAAATTCCAGAGCTTTGTCCCATTGATCCGAAAGGAAAACTTAGCACGTACCTCATGCTCAAGGATTAGAAAAGTTTGTTCGGAAGACAAAACTGACAATGAATTGAAATCATTACGCGAAGCCCTCTACTGGAGAGCGAGTATTCATCCAGACTCATAGACAAAAAACATGAAGGAATAGCTTCCGTCGCCGAAAATCACAACTTTTCTTAAGAAAACTCCCTTCATGAAACTAGAATTAAACGGCAACATTAATGCAAAAATTCTTGGAAACCGCCCTTTCAGGCAACCACCTGATGCCTCCAACTCTTCAGCAGACAGTTAATCCAGTTTAACGTGAAGAATAAGATTCCCATTTTGGCCACCTCTGTGTATATTTTTCTAAGTTCACTCGTTCGTGTGGAACAAAGTATATCGGCCGTACACAACGGGTAGTCCGCAAACGTATTCTGCAACACTGTCCAGCCAGGGGAGAAAAGAAGAGTATCAGTAGCTCTATCCTCGAACACCTTGTTAACTCTGGACATTGAGTACCCCAACATGACTGGTTTGACAGTATTACACGGAGTTTCTCAACATCGCAGGACAGAACTTCGAATACAGCATTTACACATAGCTGAATCATTGGCTAATCCGAATTTGAAACCGAAACTCTGCGTTCAGAAGTACTAGTACCTATGGCCAGACTAACGTTCTTACCATAATTTTGCTTCATTTATTATGTGAGTTTAATATCATTATTATTATTTTCGTCATCCTTATTTTATCATCACTCTACTATTATTACTAATAAAATTGCATATCCATATAGATCTAAAAAACACAATATCGTCTTTCGACTACTTGTTGTCCACTCTCACAGTTATTAAGTCATCCCAGCTTGTTCCCCTATTTTCTAAGTTCCAGTTGGTCATCCTCTTCTAGACTACAGCCTGCATTACGTAATACAGTCTCCAGGACAAATTCACCATTATCTGGTTTGTCTTATGAACTATTTGTTCAATATATGAATATATGACTGTACAGCTTATGAAAACGAATCATCGAAAGGAAAATTTTCTTCTCTGTTAACGTCTTTTTCGTATATAAAACATGGTAGTCTCCAAGTGATAGATTTCAATCAGTGAAGTGCACCAGGTCGGGATTGAGAGCAAATACTCACCGGTGATAACTGGCTGACGGGCGTGCTAAATATCGTGAGTTGACAGAAGTTATTATTCATGGGTCATTTGATTCCACCTCTCAGTGGTCGAATGCTCTACAAGCTCGCCTTGTAACCTAAATGGCCAGCGTTCAATCCTCGATGTGGTCCTGGATGCATACTGCTGAAAAGTCTCAACAGCCATCCAATACTCCATAGTGGATTCCAATGGTTCTCTGACTCACTCAGGAAATAAAGGACCTTGTGGAGAGCATGAAAAAATAACTTATTCAAGTAATGGTTTGCAGGGATTTAAATTGATTGATTTCAAGATTTCATCATGAGTTGACATCGTTTAGAGAACCATTGGAAAACCAGCTGGGAGCACTGAACGGTCGTTTCGTCACAGTTTGGGACTCTTCAACAATACGCACCCACCCGAAGTTCAAAGCCACCACCTCCCAGTTACAAGTCAAGCTCGTAGACCATTAAGCCGCTGAGACCCAATCCAATGGTCCATGAATTTTATCAGTTCGTGATTTTAAAACGACTAGAACCAGTCAGTGTCATCCGTGACGATTATTCGCCCCACTCTCTCCTGACCTTGACTTCTCAATAGAACTCCAAGCAACTACGTCTAGTAGCCGGGTGCTAACGGGCATCCAATTAATTTTCAAGAGTGCATTTGTATAGAGTGCATACTGTCGATGAGTTCGAAAGCCAGGTGGATGAAATAGCTGTCTAGTAATCCAGTACTGGGGATTTCGATGGTTCTCTAACTGATATCATCAATCCGTGGTCAAAATTGAAACAAATCAAATCCCTACAAACTGACTTTTGGAAAAAATAAATATATAAATCGTATTTTAGACGGTCAGTTAGCTGCTTTGATTCGTCCGTCTCTGATCAAAGTAGGATAAGGCAATATTTGAGGGGTTGAATGGGAAGCATCTGCACTTGCATAATAGAGTATGTCGCTTCACCGTCAATACCCTTCATCTTCTGAAAAGCTGACGGTCAACTAGGTCGTACTATCACTTAGAACAGAAGACGAACATAGTGACTATTAGAAAACAAAAAAGTTATAAGAAGGGGATATCGTTGACAACACAAATAGAAATAATCTTATAAACTTACAAAATATCACCAGGAGAAATGGTAGGGTGTTTAATGCAGCACTGAAATATAATAATATCATTGTGTAATATTTCATATTGGCGAATAGTTGAATAACATCAACAGCTGGATCAAGTATACTTGTTGGATTGCCTGATGATGTATCCGTAATATAAGGCAGCATAGGTACAATAAGTGGAGGTATTAGGAAGCCGACTGCTACACCAATCTGTATTATTTTATAAGCAAAAAAGGGTAGTATAAATGAAAAATTAGATAAATTTAGATAAATGTGAAGGAAATCTATTGATATTCAAGTATTGGTTTGTAGACATTTGATTGACTGGTCACAGGATTTCATCATGATGAGCTGACATTAGTTACAGAATCATTGAGAAATCATCTGGGAGTACTGAACAGCCAGCTGTTTCGTCCTAGTTTTGGACCTTTCAGTAGTTCGCAGCCACTCACTTCCAGGGTCTGAACCCAAGACCTTTTGGTTACAAGGCGAGCTCGTAGACCATTAAGCCATTGGGACCCGACGAAATGGCTAGCACACGAATTCCAACATCTGCCAATTCACGAAATAACCCGATTCCTAGCCAATGTCATCCGTGGTGGCGAGTATATCTCCTCACGCCTGATATGCTGTACCCTACTTGTTACGACTTCCCACTAGAATCCGGCGGGTACGTACTGATGAAGAGTCCCAAACTAGGACGAAACAGCTGTCCAGTACTCCCAGTTGGTTTTCCAATGTTTCTCCAAACGATGTCAGCTCGTGATGGAATCCCGAAACCAGAAAGTATAGAGTTAGAATTAACGGAAACAAAACAAGTAGTGTACTTCAGCCGGGTCATAGGGCTAAAAATTGTCACCTCACTCTGTTCTACACAGTTAATTTAAGCTTACGCCATGACTGCTTTAATATCTTTCATTTTTTCCAACACAATCTGCTCTACATCATAGTCGTACTAACACCCAACTAGTCTTTTTGCATTCAGGTTCTAATTGAGAACCAACCTCTGCAGCATGATGTTACTCAGCACGGTTGACACAACATGTCATATTTACATAATAATCAGACAAGGTATTCTTGGTTAATTTGTTGCCTGTTGGATTTTCTCATTTTTCTAATCTCATCTGGCTGGCCATCTGATCCTCACCATTAAGTGAAGGCACTGGTGTTATTAAAAGTTGAAAGCCTGTTGCAAATGTTTCTGATGACGAGCGTCACAAGTCGCTGCACGGTACAAAGGTGTTGACTCGACATTAATAATGAAGATCCATATCTTTTTGCTAATGAAGGCCTGATTTGCATTTCTGATCGTACCTACTACAACCTTATCCGTGCCACCTGCCTGTGGCTGAAACAACGCTATCTAGATAAGCGATAAAAGTGACCATCTTCAAATTTCTCCTGTTGATGGTGACTGATGATTGTTGCAGTTGGTTAGGTATCTCTTTCACTTCTTCTTCTTCCTTGTGTTCACATGATGTCGTATCTCCACTATCTGGTTCTTCTTTCAACTTGTTGGTTTTCGATTTTAGATCTTCGAGTTTGTATAATACTATACAAATGGTCGTCCGAAAAATTCAGATACCTTTTTCTCCGTCCAACATATATTTTCAAGTATTGGTTTTGTAGGGATTTAGTTTGATTGAATGGAGGATTTCATCATGAGCTGACATCAGTTACAGAACCATTGGAAAACCTGGAAGTACTAGTAACTGAAAATTCATCTCACGCTAACTAGCGAGTGAACCTATCCAGGCAGTTAACCTGGCGTTCTATTGGGAAGCCATGGCAAGTAGGGTAAAGCAGGTTGAAGGTGAGACAGTAACTCACTCATCGAAGAAGACATTGCGAAGTGGTCACGGTATGTCGTGAATTAGCAGAAGATAGAATTCAAGGACCATTGGATCGGGTCCCAGTGGTTCAGTGGTCTACGAGCTAGCTCGCCTTGTAACCAGAAGGTCCTGGGTTTGAATCCCGGTGGTTGCCTACTGTGAAGAGTCCCAGACTAGGACGAAACAGCTGTCCAGTACTCCCAGGTTTTCCAGTGGTTCTCTAACTGATGTCAGCTCATGATGAAATCTTCCATGCAACATATATTTGTCTTCAAACTCTCCATGGTATGTTCCATGATTAACCTTAAGGCATTGTCTATACTAACCAGCGTCATGTCAATTGATACCGATTGTCTCAGTCCGATAGAAATCACTCAGTTTTGCTTATTCCTTTACGTTTCCAGTGGAACATAGGGCTTCAAGCGACAGACTTGAAGTTTCGGTAGCAGTGGTGTTTATGTTTTTACAGAATAGGATCGCTAGCCTCAAGCCCATCCTTCCCTCTTTGCCAGTCTTATGACTAGTTTAGCGAGGTGAAGGAGTGCATCGGCCAGGGATCGAATCCCGGACCGCATGCGTGATTGGCAAGCATTCTACTGCTGTGCCATCAACGCTCATGATCAAGATTAGGATTATTAAATAGTTGTCAATCCCCGTACTGGAATCAATTTCAGACAAATAGACTCTTGTTTATCTAGCAAAACCATCGAACATAAGCGTTCATATTTGCTTAGCTCATTATCATAGCATCAATCACATTGTCTAGTTGACAATAAATAAGACGCTACGTCTACTGTAGCGAATAAAAGAAGAAAAACTACACGGATACTCCTAACTGCTCAAGCAATTGACTGTCCCCTGGAAGAATAAAGTCTGATGCCAATGTGTTCAAAAAAGGAAGACGATTACTAATCTACTACTTATCAGATTGATAATTACTGAAGGAAAGATGAAGGGAGTAATACTAACAACATTACTTCAAAATATTTTTTTTGCAATTATGAAGATGATAGGTGATAATGTTTAGACAATAGACAGGAGATCACAACCTTTCTCATTATGTTATTGATTCTTTAGATTTTGAGTGAAGCATGAACCTCTATTCCACTTGGTTCTTAGTCCTAATTTTCAGCTTTTATTTTGTCTTCATATGATCACCTCGAATATCATCCATCTAGCACGCAACCTATCGCATCCAATTCCAGTTGAACTTGAGAGATTGGCGTGCGATCCCATTTGAATGTCTTCCCAATGAGAGAGTTTTATGATCTTTGAACGGCCATCTGGTCTTCACTATCGAACGATGTTAGATGCTTATGAAAGTCTGGATTGATATGTTGAAAACGCAAATTAATCGACTTAACATTAGTTAGAGAACCATTGAAATCCAGCAGTGGAGTAGTGGAGAGCTGTTTCATTAGCCTAGTTTGGGAATCATTGGCAGTACGCGCCTACCACAGGGGTTCGAACCCAGGACCTTCCGGTTACAAGGCAAGCTCGTATACCATTCAGCCACTGAGACCCGGTTCAATGGCCCACGAATTATAACTTTTACCAATTCGTGATTTAAGTGCGTGGCTGAATGGTATATGAGCTAGCTCGCCTTGTAACCGGAAGGTTCTGGGTTCAAACCCCTGTGGTGGGTGCGTACAGCCAATGATTCTCAAACTAGGATGGAGGAAACAGCTGTCTAGCACTCCAGTGCTGGTTTTCAATGGTTCTCTAACCAATATCAACCCGAGGTCAAATTCGTAAAAACGAATGTAATCCTTACAAACCAACTATGGAAAACACAAATTTTATCAATAGCTGACTTCTCTGGCTCGATAACGAATGAAGATGAGATGGCTGATAGGGAGGGATAACCTACATAGACTACACTCTGACAGCTAACAAACTAAGCAAGAAACCTATAGCCTGATACATATATGTTACATATCGAAGAAAAGGTAGACTGATAAATTGGATAGATTCTGAGGTGATCACAGAGTGAGAAATGATGAGTTGGGCCTTGCCAAGAGTATGACATAGAGAAGATTCTGTGACAAGCAAGAGACCAAAACCTTATGGAAAGTTGTGCAGCCAGCTAAAACAGAATTCAATGAACAGAGTGAAACGTAGATTTGCTGTAGAAGACCTCTCCTATGTTCTAGTCGGAAGACAACTGCTAACTTCGTGGGACATATGTAAACATTTTATATATTTGTAAAATCTCAGCGAAATCGAGGTAAGAAACTCGACAAACTCACCCTGAACTTCTTCAGGGAAAGAAACTTGGACTGGTCAATACCTACATTTTATAGCTTTTGCCCAACCAGTTACAAACGATGTCTAGTAAAAACGCTCTTCAGCAGAGCCAAAGAAATATATTCAGAAGACAAGATTGAAGAAGAACTTGAGATCATCGAAAAGAACCTTATCAAGAATGGATATCCTCGAAAGTTCATATTAAAATATAGAAATGAAGAAGTACACAAACCGAAACCCGACACCGTTGAAAAGAAACCAGTTTTCATCTGTCTAGCGTACAAAGGGGAAGACTTATCCACAAGAACACAAAAAAGAATCACAGGTGCATTAAAAAGAACGTTTCCAGCCGCCAGACTGATCCTACTTCACAACACTGTGTGCTCGCTAACCCAGTCAAAAGTAGATGAGTACCCTACTCACGTCAACTCCAACTGCATTTACCAATTCACGTGCACCTGCGGAAGCAAGTACATAGGAAGGACTGAGAGGACAGCATCTACTAGATTTTCTGAGCACATTTCTAAGAGTCTTCGTACAAAAGGAAGAAAAGTGTTATCAAGTGCAATCGCCAGACATCTAATTGACACAGGACACACAGTAGAAATCAGCCAAGCCTTCAAAATAATCAATACACAAAGAAACCCACGGCTACTTCGCTTCGCAGAAGCCATTGCTATCAAGAGATTTCGACCAGACCTTTGTATACAGAAAGATAGTGTGATTAATCTTTCACTACTTTGGTAACCCTAACTCTATTTTATTTTATTTTTGTTTTGCCTTTCTGTCAGTATGCCTGTGTGTTTGTCTTGTTACGTACCATTCTATTCAATTTTGACCTTCAAGTTTCTAAATCTACTTAACTGTTTGTCTGTTTAAGTTATAAATGTTACTTCACTATTCACTCCCACCCTCTTAAACGCTCCACCACAAGATGTGTAAATTTACTTTGTTCTCTGACCCTGACCCTGTAATATGCCTCTAACCAATCTGTGTTGTTTTCCAATAGAAATCTGAACTCTTACCCCTCATATCTAATTCCACTATATATAATTAGTTGTTTTTTGACACCGAATAACCTGTCTACCTACATCAAATTCTGGAAATATGTTCCTTATGCCTTCTATCTAT